AGCTTGAACCCAATCAAATATTTCTGGAGAAACCTGAAAATGTGCATCTGCCCCCATCCAAGCTGACAGAGCTTGAGAGGTGAAGAGATGAGGAGAAGAATGGCAGATAATTGCCAAATGCTGATGAGAAAAGCTTGTCGCATCAAACAAAAAAGACTTGAGGCTGTTAAGGTTCTTCAGCTAAATATTTAGTTATATTAATTAATATTTAGTTTAGAATACTTATGCAATGTACTTATTTCAGTTTTTTATTTTTAATACATTTACGAAGTTGTGACAATTCTGTTTTTGCTTTGTCATTATGGTGTATGGAATGTAGATTGATGTGGGGGGAAAAAAAAAGTAATTTAAAGCAGTTTAACTTAAGGCAGCAACGTAACAAAATGTGAAATAAATGAAGGGGTATGAATACTTTCGCAAGGCACTGTATATATATATATATATATATATATATATACATACCGAAAAAGTCTAGAGAAAAGCATTTTGCGAAATATTAAGACTAATATACTCATTATATTTTACTTAACCTGTTAGTGATGTCTTAATTATTTAATGTATGTTTAAATAAACCTGTTATGAAACAAGTTATGACAGCCACTGTGCAAATGAATATATTTCAACAACAAATAGAATGTTATAATTTTAGAAGTTAATTTAAAAACTGCATTATGTGTAATTTACATGTTTGCATACATTTTTTTTGTAAAGTTTGGGCTATGTTGTTCATTGTAACCTTATAGTAATATAAAAGGGCTCCCTATTTAGAGCATAAGCTGAGGTAGATTTTTATCCCTAAGAAAATTGTAATTATTAATTGAATTTATTTAATAAAAGAGCAATTTGTTCAGTAAACCACTGTTTAATAAAAAGAAGCAATTTTATGTTGTTTTTCCCCCTGCTGTACCGTATCCTGAACCGTGACGTCATAACTGAGGTTACCTACTTCTACACCCCTAAGGAGTATATATATATTGTACAGAAAAAAAATCAAGCAGCAATTAAACAGTAAAAAAGCATTTGGGGACAAATCTTAAAAGTGCGAGAATAACCACTATTGATATGTAGAGCTGGTAGGATTGATGAAATGCATTTTTTCCCCCTTTTATTTATGAATGATTGTCACTAAGTTATGGGAATGCAGCCACAGAACAAAACTCAGATCAAAAGCTGCAAAGCTGTAGTCATCAAACAAACCGAAACACAAGTCTCCAAATCTATTTATACTGTACTTTTTAGGACATGAATGAGGTCTCGTCCTGTCATGGATTCTATAATGACATAAGAGCTAACATATAATGTCGACTTTATATATTAATACTGTGCACAAATAGCACAAGCACATGAAAATAATTGGTCACTATGGGTATCCTCATTTGTACATGCTACTTTTTTCCCTTTTAAATATGTTTACCTTTTACACTATAAAGAAAAACATCACTTGCACAAACGAGGTATAAATAAACATCATAAATACATAACCACAAATTAAAAACCCTTCAAGGCCTGCTAACAGATGTTTTAAAAAATAAACATACAAAGAAGAAAAACTAAACATGATAGCTTTGAAAAGTGTCTCACAACTTAATCCCACGTTCATAAAACATACATACCCAAATTAAATGATAGCAACAGTCATAAACTCCTATGTACAGTAGAAAGCACCAGGTTGTTGCACGAATGAGCAGTGTAGCTCATGTTGACCCAGGCTCTCCTCATAAACTTTTATAAATATTTCTGTGTAGGTTTATAAGTAGGTAGATAAATGTACAGTATTATAAAGTCCTGATCCGTTCTCGCTAATCTCATACTGTTTTGGTAACCACCTTTACGCAATAATAAGTCTTATTATTTCTTATTGAAACCATGCTTTGTCACCATTGCCTTGAAGTCCAGACTAAACACTTTGGGGGGTGAAAAAAAGAGGATTGCTCCCTCATGGTCACCCTTGGCTCTCGGCTGCAAGATCGATGCCAACTCCAAATGAAAAGTTCTGGATCATTGAGTCGCATTGATTATGTGTTCCAGTGTGTGGAGCTCTAGTTTTTAAGAATCAACATATCGTTGGGTATGTTTCCATGAAACCGTCTCAAATGCTCCTTTATTCCCTCCAAAAGTCTTTTCATAGACCTATAACCAGAATGCTCTTTTACGCCAGTATTTCATGGTGTTATAAGCACAGCTTGTTATAAAACGCCTCTGAGATGGATGATGAATAATCGCTGGTGTCCAAATCTGTTCTTGTTTTGATGTACAGTCCATTTCCCACAATCCTCATTTACTCGACGGAAAGAGGAATGCGGTCTCCACCTATGTCATGCATCTGTACTTGAGAGAGTGTTGGAGAGAAAGAGAGATGAGGAGTGAGACAGACTGAGATTTTAAAAAATGAGGTCCCGGAGCTGCCGGTCTTGCGTCTGTGTATTTGGACTGGCCTCTACAGCAGGGAGCTCGGGGGGCTTTCGGGAGGGGGTGGGGTGTGTGTTGGGCTATGGCGCATTGGCAAGATGTCGTAGTGGCTGGGAATGTGGCTGTTCCGCGGGAGGTCATAAGGACTCTGGGAGAATCCGGTTGCCAGGCCATTGGGTCCCTGAAGCACACTCACTGTCGGTTCTGAGGAAGAAGGGTGGAGAGAGGTGAGCGGCTCAATTTCTCAAACTCTCTCTGAATCTTCCACACGCACTGTAGCTCTCTCTATGGTATACAGCACATTATGTTCTAAAGATTTTATAAAGAATCTTTACAACATAATCTATATTTAAATATTTTCCCATTTGATATTTTGACATAATTTGGGGAAAATAATGACACTGAATATTGCCATATTGTAATACAATACTGCAAACTTGTAGCATAATCAAAAATGCATAAACACAATTATATTAATATAAACCTTTAAAAAAAAAGTATATATTTTGTTATTTCATATTAGTGCTGTCAAACGATTAATCGTGATTAATCGCGTCCAACATAAAAGTTTGTGTTTACATAATATATGTAGGTATTCTGCGTATATTTATTATGTATATATAAATACACACACATACAGTAGATATTTTGAAAATATTTACATGTATATACATGTATATATGTATATTCTTATATTTTATATTATATATAAATATATTTAATATATAAACATAACATATTTTTCTTAAATATATACATGCATGTGTTTGTATTTGTATATACGTAATAAATACACACAGTATACACACATATATTATGTAAACAAAAACGTTTATTTTGCAAGCGATTATTCGCGATTAATTGCTTGACAGCACTATTTCATATATTTTATATATACAGTAACAGCAGTTGTTATTTTTAACTAAAACTAAAGCAATTAACATTTTTGGTAATTGAAATAAAGCTGAAATAAAATATAAATATTAGATAAAAAACATAAACTTAAATGAAAATTATAAATGTTGCCTTGGCAGCTACCTGAAATAAATAATCGAAGTTATAAAATTACAAAAACTAAAATTGAAATAAAAATGGACAAAAAGGACTATTTTGAAAAAATTACTAAAACTGGATGTATAAAAATAAAAATATGAAAACTGAAAATATAAAAATAAAGGCTAATTCAAAATATTAATAAATACCATTATAGCATATAAATAATACAGAATAACACTAATATATAAATATAAACATGTAAAAATATAAATAGATTTATGTATTCATTGTTTTATTTGTACTATATATGGAATATGGTAATATTTATACTTTCTTTTTTTGTTCATTACACTTCAAAGTAAATATTTTAAAATAATATAATAACATCTATCTAAAACATATACACATGCAAACCTATTTTATTTATAAATAAAATAAAAAGTAAACACACCTGAATATTGAATTACTAATTATAACAAGAAATAAAAAGCATAACCTGACAGCTCAGAATTAGGCTTACTTATTTATGAATAAATAGTTATGCAGTTGTAATTTCTCTTTTCTAATTTATTTATGAATGACACATGGCAACATATATATTGTACTTATTAAAGATTCAGCAAAAAGTTGCAAAATCCCAGAATATGTCTTTCCTATAGGAATTACAAAGCAGTGTGTTTTTCTCATTAGAGAGAAAGTGAAGGAAAATGTTTCCATATGGCAACACTGTATTAATAACAATGTTGTGCTTAAAAAGACAAAAATGAGAGAGCTGGAAACTTCACATAAGAAGTAAGTATCCATCTGCATACATGAGACTCACCCACGTCATAGACGTTCCTGCTGGCAGTGGTCAGGGTTGTGCTAGTGCTGGAGCAGAAGGTCAGGTCTCTGTGAGCTGGTGACTTCATCTCCACGTAGCTGCTTTCAGTGTGCTTGCAGGCCAGGCCGGGCGGATCTCGGATGGTGGCGTACGGGTTCTCACTATTTAGGGAGCACGAGCTGGAGCTACACATGGAGGCCTTTATGTAATCTACACACATTACAGAAGAGATATTACTCACATATTCATTTCACATAACCCTCTGGGAGAGAACAGACACGGGAGAGACAAAAATGTAATAAATGTTATTATTTGTACAAAGAACTATATGAAAAATTAAGTTACGTTCAAGACTATCTCTAGTCAAAGATGCAAAATAAGCACTTTTCCATGATGTACTGTTTAGAAACAGCATCCCAGGGTAGATTTTCACAGTGAAATCCTGTTAGACGGCACTGGAAAATCTTGTTACTAAGCTAAGATCTAATGTAGCTGAAGAAGAGATTGTGGAGAGAAAGTAAAAGATTTGCAGGATGTATTACTTATGTACATCATCCAGAAATATAGAGGAAGAGATTAAGTCGTGCTTTGTAGAATGAAGGCAGTGATGACACAACAGACTTGAAATGTTGAAATGTAAAGTATTTGTGAATGAGGCAAATGCACATCCAGGTCAGTGTGATCACTATATTGTTTCACTTCACTGACTTGGATAATCTTTGAAAGTCATTCTTAATTTACTGAGAGAACGCAGTAGTCCTTGACTTGTGTAGGGACCAGAGAAAAAACGGAAAAGGACCTCTTGTGTATAGTGTGGTATATTCTTATTACAAGAGCAAATGTCCATCATAGTTATTACCTTTGGCCATTCGAGTGGTTTTGTTGTCCCTCAGTGTAAGTGTATCTCCTCTTGATACTCCTAACGAGGCACATGAACACACATTCTGAGTAATTCATGATTCAACAACAGTATAAATAGTCAATGATAAACATCAGTAATGGGAAATGATATTGTGATGGGAACAGATAAGCTGCATTATCAAATAGCATGTTGTAAAATATTAGCCTATAATATATGCAGTATATAGTCTCTTGTTAAATTAAATGTTAATATATATTTTTCAATATATTTGATAGTAAATTTTGTAGCACAAATGCCAACATTTCCTCATGTTGTCTCCAACCAAAATTAGATGATACTTTAAACACCTTTTTAGACGACAATTTACTGTTATTGAATGGATGGATTTTCAGGCTTAATGGTGAATCTAAAGCACCAACAAAATCAAACACATATAGGAAGGCAGGTAAGCAAGATAAAAAGAACAACACAGGAAGGCCTGCACATATACATATAAAAGCAAAGTCAGGCTCTTATGCAATACCCAACTTTGACACTCTAATGAGTATTCTGAGTTAACCTTTAACCAAATCTAAATCTAAATCACGTTTCTCAGCTGACTACCCAGAGATACTGACATGCCTTTAGGGTGACGTCAAGATCTATAAATGAAAATGCTCAAACAGAACACCCACCCCTCACTGATAAAGCCAGTGCAATATTAATTAGGATTGTCTCTGTAATTCACGAGTTCACACTTACATATAATGAACAGAGTAAAGGTTATGCGTATTTGGCGTGCTGTCCGGGGAGAGGGCTCCGAGCTCGGTAATTACTCTCGAGCCCGGGGTACTCCCCCTGTCCGGGGAGAGGGGTCCGAGCTCGGGTCTAAGCCCGGACCCAGAGCGCTCCCCCAAAGATGCAATTAGTACGGGACAGCAGCCAGAGAGGAGCATTGATAACCCCCCAAAATTTGCAAAGCTTAAAATTGGTGGGGTGCTGGACGTCGTTTGTAGTAGCGGCACTGCTGAGGTTTTAGAAGACAGAACTAGAGGCTTCTGCTTTTCTGACAAGATGTGCGTTAAATATCGCATGCGATTTATCGTGCAGCCCTACTCACAAGCATGATTTCCTAACTAGAAAATGATATTTTTAAGAACAACACATTTTATAAGTCAATTATATGGTTATTGACACTGTCGTAACTATAACACATTGTTTGGTTAGCCTTTATTGGTACAAATCCTGTCTAATGTACACTACTGTTTAAAGGTTTGTGTTCAGTTAGAATTTTTAATGTTTTTTAAAGTCTTTTATGCTCACCAAGTTTGCATTTATTTGATTAAAAAAACAATCAAATTGTTAAATATTAATAATATTATAACAATTTGAAATAGCGGTTTTCAATTTTAATATATTTTAAAATGAAATTGCCATATGATGGCAAAACTGAATTTTCAGCAGCTATCATTCCAGTCTTCAGTTTTCACATGATCCTTGAGAAATTATTCTATTATGATCATTCTAATATGATAATTTGGTGCTAAAGAAATATCTTTCATAATTATCAATGCTGAAAACAGATGTGCTTCTTAATAACTTTGTGGAAACTCAAACATTTTTTGAGGATTCTTTGATAAACAGAACAGCATTTATTTGAAACCGAAATCTTTATAGCATTATAGATATATTTACTGTCACTTTTGATCAATTTAATGCATCCTTGTTGAAAAAAAGAATGAATTTCTTAAAAAAGGGGTCATGTTGTAGCATGTTTTTATGTAATATTCTAAGCACAAGCAGCTACTATGGCCATAAAAGTGATGCTTGAAAAGTTTAAAAAAAAAAATAGTTTATCTGTCGAACCATCATGAAGTAGGATGCGAACCCCTGCTGTAATGCAAACGTGTCTACATTATGTCCTCACCTTAAGAGTGAGAGTGCCATCCAGGTTGTTTGTGATGGAGGATGAGATGTTGCACTGTGCCACAGTGTGGTAGCTGGGATTGGAGAAGCACTGGCCACCGCTGCTGCTCTGAGATGTTTCTAAAGGAGAGAGCAAGACAGAAGTGTTCATAACTTCTACAAACCACAGTGTACAAGCTTATGAAACTCCTGTCTGATAATGCATAATGCATAACATCCTGTTCCTGCAGTAACAGAGTAGAAGAGGGCAGTTTAATGGCCCGAAATTCATGATACTTAATGGAATTGGTCAAGCCATTTATAGCCACATCATCAAAACTAGCCCATGCAGCTGGCATAAAAAATGACCATGAATATGCGTATTTTCACATAATTAAAATATATGAATTGAATACTTATCAGGTTATCAGTATATGAAAAGTGTGGTAGCACTGTGATAACCATAATACAGTGCTGAAACTGTTGCTTTTACTGTCAGTTACTGAACAGACAAAAATGTCGCTACACACCGTTCAAAATACTTGTAAAAACATTCATGGAGAATCTGAAGTTGTTCATAGCAGCTTATTCAATATCTGATGATTAGTCTCAAAGGAGGTTCTCACCAGAGAGGGAGTAGTCAGTGTTGGTGACACGGAGGGCTGGGGTGTATGAGACACTGGGCATTTCCTGGCCTTTGTCTCTCTGTCTCTGCCTGAACCAAACAAACAAGCTGAGCATGGCCATGATGATCAGCAGTAGGAAGATGATGCCCATGACAGCACCTGCGGACTGGCGCTCTGAACCCAGAGAAGGACTGATCTTAGTGTAGGGGTTCAGCTCCTCCATCACTAGAGCCGCTGAGACACAGAATATGATTATGTTGAAATCAACCGAGATGAGATGCGAGCTGACGCTCGGTGGATGGAGGAGGGGGTCTGGGGCTGGCGGCATCCGGGGCACGGCCCAGGCTTGCTGAAGGCTTTTTGCAGCGGCCTAACGGCCTGAAGCCCGTCTACGAAGGAATGGTGGTTAGCTCGGGCCGTGAGTACAGAACACTGCGGCCCTGGCTCGCTTTATCCGCGGCCTTGGATGGAGGAGTAGAGCTTGGAGGCGCCCCTGTTTGGAGGGAAGTATAGAGGGCGAGGAGATCCGCCTTGACCGACCGTCGTGGGACGTTGACGCCGGAGCTAATGAGCGCCTGGCGTAGTCCGGTCACGGTCCATTTCTCCGCAGCTGGGGCGGAGGAGAGGGCTGAAGCGTAGGAGGACGCTGGAGAAGGTGGCTGACGCCTGGAAGGCGAAGGTGATGGCGTGCCTCGGTGTCTGGAGGTATGAGCGACGGCGGCGCGGGAAGGCCGGCGGCCCCGTGTTGCAGCCGCGGGCTCGATTATGGTGTCCTGCGGAGCGCTGGACGTCGACTGGAGACGCCGGAGGACCCGTGGTGTCGAACGCGTTGTCATCTGGGAAAAGTTCGATCTCTGACATGTTTGCGGCGATTGGATGTGCCAATGCTGGAAGACTAGAGATAATGGAGGTAAGGCTGCTTTGATTATTTATAGAGGCCGTGTTAATTATCTGCGCGTGCTCCTCCCGAAATTTGTTAATAAAACATCACATAGTCTCCATGACAGCAGTAGAGTTACAGTGTACGCTCACTGTTCAGTTGGGATTTTCCTCTATAGAAATGTGATGTAGTTTAGTCTGTTAAAGAAAAGGACAGTTTGTACTTTCACTTGTTTTGACTTGAATCAAAATGGTTCTCATTCACTCATTTCACACAGATTCCTATAGTGAAGAATTCATCGAGAAGACAATGTCTTTGTAATCTTCATCAGAATGTAACAACGTTTGACCCAGGCTTTGAAATAACTTTGCATTTATAAACAGGTTGTCATCTACAAGTTAACATTCGACACTGTGACTGGAAATCAGGAAAACTTCCTATAAAAAGATGAAATCACTGTCCCACTTTGAACTTGTGGTCACTGGCCCTATTTCACTTCCTCTATTGGCTTGCAACAGAACATGATTAAAATACCCACCCTCCAACCAGAGTCTCTGAGGCCTTGTATGCTCTGCTGAAGCCTTATCAGCAGACCTGCAGGTAGACATAATGGGGTGAGGTGGCTTGGGATGGGAAGCCAGAGAGGTAATGAACTCTCTCCCCCCTAGTCTGAGTGACCTTGGATAATATAGGCAAAGTCTGACCTTCCACCATGTGCATGTGCCACCTAAAGTAAGGGCTTATTAAAAACGCAGCAGGCGGAGGTCTTCCTCTAGTGCCAGAAGCGCCGTCTGGTGTTCTTTACAACCCCCAGGAATGAGTAAGTAGTTTAATTCTCTGGTGCTTCAATGGAAAACAAATGTCTTATTTGTTTTGCGGAATAGGCTGAGCGGAGAAAAGAATTATATATCTGATCCATTTCAAATTGCATGAGTACTTTTTTAGGCTTTGTCTGACGAGAATCAGATAGAAGATGGTTTAAATAGGGGGTGAGATAAGAAATTAAGTGAGGACACTGACCCAGGTCATTGAGATTGCAGTACGCTCTCCATTCGGAACTGTTCCTGTCTCCTTTCTAAAAGGGGAAAAAAAAGACACTGAAAGACCATTGCCCTGATAGCCTTGATGAAACAGTGTAATGCAGGGATTCTTGACCTTTTTTGGTCCACGACCCATTTTTTATGTTCTAATGTTCTTGCAATGTCACACGCCAATTGAATTGAGTCCGAATTAAGCTATAAAATGTATCTCACAAGTAGGGCTGCACGATAAATCGCATGCGATATTTAACGCGCATCTTATCAGTAAAGCCGGTTCTGTAATCAGCGGTAAATCTCCATCACCTGCGGGCTTTCACATTGAGCAGCATTAACTACACAGAGCCGTTGTTCACTGACGAGCTGCGCAAAACCACGTTCATATTCGCGCGATTTTTTGCGCAGCTCGTCAGTGAACAACGGCTCTGTGTAGTTAATGCTGCTC